TACTGATTAAGACTGAACTTGTCTCCTTTAGCAACAGGGGTGTCACCTGGTCCGCAATCTTGCATGCCAAACCTTTAAGTACTTTATCGATATAGCTCTTTTGTAATAATCCAAGTATACTTCGAGAATGATCTCGGTGTATCTGAATTCTTAATATAAAAGAGGAGTCTCCAATATATTTCATCTTAAAATTCTTTGATAGAAATCTCTTGGTTTCGTGCAACATGCTTATATCATTGTTGGCAAGGAATATGTCATCAATATACAGAACCAGAAAAATATACTTACTCCCATTGAATTTGTGATATACACAGTTATCAATAATATTCATATCAAAACCAAACGAGATAATTACTTTTGAAACTTATGATACCATTGACGAGGAGCTTGCTTGAGTCCATAAATGGATTTTCTTAATTTGCAAACTATATTCTTTGAGTCTCCTAACACAAAATTTTCCGATTGTACTATATAAATCGTCTCATCAATGTCACCATTGAGAAACACAGTCTTAACATCTATCTGATGTAACTCAAGATCAAAATGAGCAACAAGTGTCATGATTGTTCTAAAAGAATCTTTCGATGAAACCAAAGAGAAAGTCTCTGTATAATCAATGTCTTCCTTTTGAGTATAGTATTTAGCTACAAGACGTGCCATATACCTCTCCACATTATCATTTGCATCCTGCTTGGTTTTTAATATCCATTTACAACTAATTAGTTTTGCACCTTCTGGCAATGGAACAAGTTCCCAAATCTTATTGTCTTGCATAGACTTGTACTATTCATTCATGACATCGATCCACTTTTGAGAGTTAGAACTTTTCATGGCCTGATAAAAGTTAATTGGATAATCTTCCATCATTCCATTATTTTCCTTATGTTCTTGGAGAAATATATTATAATCATTCGGAATAACATTTCTCATTTCTCTCGTGGATCTCCTTAATAGCACTGGTTCTTGAAGTTGTTGAGTTTGTTCTTCTGAAATAGGGAGTTGTTCAACATTGTCTTCTTGAGGTTCCGAATTCATTTTTTGATCAATAACAGGTATAGAAACCAGAATATTGTCATAAGTGACAGTATGGATTGTGTTTGAAGCTAATTCCTCCTTAAAAGCAATGTCTCTAACCTTATTTCTCCCCTCAAACTTAACATCCTCAAAGAATGTTGTTGTTCTCGTCTCAAAAATAGTTATGAGTGTGGTATCATAAAACATATAGCCCCTAGATCATTCAGAGTAACCAATAAAGTAGCTGCTAACTATTTTGGAGTCTAATTTTTTTATTTGGCCTATAAGACCTTGCCTCAGCTGGACATCCCTAAATGTGAATATGCTTTAAACTAGGCTTTCGACCTATCCAAAGCTCATAAAGTGTTTTTTTAGCTATTTTAGTTGGTACTCTGTTCAGAATGTAAGCTGCTATCTTTAATGCTTCTCTCCAGAGTGGCTCTGGTAAAGTAGAATGAGCAATCATACTCCTTACCATATCCTTAAGAGTCATGTTTTGTCTTTCAGCTACACCATTCATACTAGGTGATCCTAGCATGGTGTACTGTGGGACAATACCGCATTCCTCTAGGTATTTAGAAAATGGTCCTGAATATTGTTCACCTGAACCATCATATCTGTCGTAGTACTCACCACCATAATCAAATCTAACGGTTTTAATCCTTTTGTTGAGTTGATTATCAACTCCAGCTTTAAAAGCTTTGAATACATCCAGAGACTCAGATTTCTTATGAATGAGATACAGGTACCCATAACGTGAGTAATCGTCTATGAATGATATAAATATTATTGACCATTCCAAGATGTCGTAGGGAATGACCCACAAATATCTGTATGTATCAATTCTAAGATATCTGAAGATCTGTTGGCTCCTAACCTCTTAACTTTGGTCTGTTTCCCTTTAAAATAGTCAACACATACATCAAAATCAGTAAAATAAGGGGATCCAAAATTCCATCAGACACAAGATGCTCAACTCTACCTTTTGAGATATGACCCAAGTGCTTATGCCATAATGTTGCTGAATTTTCCTTATTTAATTTACGCTTAGTACTACGTGATTCCACATGTAAGGTTTCATTATAAGAAGCAATTGTATCAAACAAATATAGGTTGTCATAAGTATTCAAGAAACCAGTTTCCATAATATTTGAATTTAAAGATAAACTAAACAGATTGTTTCCAAAAGAACAATAATAACCTGATTTGTCCAATACAGAAACAGAAACCAAATTCCATCTAAAAGACGGTACGACAAAAGTATCTTTCAAATCCAAATAGAAACTAGTTCCTAATAACAACCTAAAGTGCCAAATTCATTGCATGTCTACTGATTGTTCATCACCCACAAAGATGTGTCTTTCACCATCACTTGGCTTTCGATAGCTTAGGCAACCCTGCATATAAACACTTATATGAGTAGTAGCACCATAATCTAACCACCAAATGTTTCTAGGCACTAAAGCTAAATTAACCTCAGAACAGACCAAAGTAAGGGACATACCCTTCTTGACACGCCAAGCATGATATTTGGTACAATCATTCTTTACGTGTCCAGCCTGTTGGCCTTCTTGTTTTGATGATGTTTAATAAATAATTTACAACTAATGTTGTTTGTCTACTATTTGTGTTTTCGTATTTATTCTAGGAAAACAACGTGTTGGAGGATGGATGGAATAGAGCTTCAATGATCATATCCAAAGGAGGTTGGTGGAATATCGGTGAATCTTATGCAATTCAAGTTCAAGATCCAAGTTCAGCTTCATCCGCATAGTGTTCCAAGTTGAGCTACATTGGAGATCAAGATCTAGCTTGGATAATTTAGTTTATGTGTTATATTATGTGTGTTAAGTACGTTAAGCTCAATATCATATACACACACATTTATTGGTTTCCTTGTATATATATGTAGTCACATATATATACAACACAAGTTTTGGTTTTCATGTTTATAAATATGAAATTACATATTTATTATTGTGTTTTAGTATATATTGCATAGAATATGCAATTTTGTGAAAATTCTATATTCTTAGTTTTTGGACTTAACAATAATCATATACATATTTTATTAAGTCTATATAATCATTGTGCAAAGTTTTAAAACATGATTTAGCCTAAATGTCAAAATTCATATGTTTACATTTTCGTGTTTTGGACTATTTTGCAAAATGATGATTTTTCACAAATGGGAAATGCAATTTGGAAAATTCTTTTTGTAACATGTTCATTTACATGTTTATATACATTTTCCAAAGTTTTATTCTTTTTGGACTTCATTTGTTATTTTTAACAATTTTCCAAAGTCACATAAATTAGCTTTAAAACCAGTTTTTTTGTAGTATCAGTTATCGGTCGACCGCATCGGTCGACCGCTCATATGTTCAGTCGGCAGTGGGCAGCAGAGAGTTTGTCGGTCGACCGCCGCGGTCGACCGTGAGCTCAAAATTTTCATCGGTCGACCGTACCGGTCGACCGAATAAGTCTCTGTGCGTTTTCTCCGTTTGGAACCTGGATCGCGGTCGACCGCGAAAATTTCCGGTCGACCGCCGCTCTGTTAATTCTGTTTCCAACGGATATTTTTGTTACTGTTGTTGGGGTTGTTTTTGGGAACTTTGGCTGAGATTTCAAGTGGGTATAAATACCCTATTGTTGTTCTCTTTCAATGTAAGCTAAGAAGTTTTTAAACAAGGGTTTTAAAAAGAGTTTAAGCTTGTTTAAGCTTGTTTAAGGGTTTAGTTTAAAGTAGTTTTAGCTTTCACAAGTGGAGGAGATTATCTTCTTGTTTGTGCCTCAAATCTCCATCTCTCCATCTTGATCTAGAGAAGTTTTCCTAAACTCAACTCTAGCTTTTATTTATAATTATTTGTTAATTATCATTTCTATTAAAGCTAATTTTATATTGAGTTTAGATTTGATTTTATCTCATTGTTACACACACCCACTTGAGCTTATTGTATTTGCATTCATAATATATTTGGGGTTGTTTGAGTTGTAACATTGAGTGTGAGCTTTCATTGTGTTCTCATCCATAGTTGAGAACAATCAATTATTGTATTGAGCCTAATTGTGAGATACACATTGTAATACACTTGTACACCGAGAGAAGTGTGTAGCGAGAGTCGGGGATCGTCCCAAGAGGAGTGGTGTCGGTTGACGAACTTAGGGAGAGGTTGTAACCGAGCACTTGAGGGAGACACGTCTAGTTCAACACTTAGTGGGTGTAGAGTGGGATTGCATTAGTGTGTTGTTGTGAAGTTTTCGGTGAACTAGAAAACCGAGTGTGAGGAGTGGACGTTGATCGGTGATCGTTGAAAACCGACATAGTGTGGTTGTAAATGTTATTCGGGTGAACGTAGAAAACCCGGTTGTGATAGTGGATTTCTCCCCGGGAGTGGGGAGCGGAGACGTAGGACGGAAGGTCCGAACTCCGTGATCATATTGCTTGTTTGAGTTTGTCTTTGGCGTATTTGTTTTTGCATTTATCTTATATCGCCAATTGTGCATTACTCATTTATTTCATCCACTATCTTGTTTAGATTATTTATCCTTGTGTTGTTTATATATCCTTGCATATATCTCTATCATATAGGATATATCTCATTGTTCATATTGCTTATCCTAGCTTATATTCTTGTTGTATTTCATACTTGCTAGGATAACTTATTAATTAATTTTAATTGGCATATAATCGGATTAGATTAGCATAAGACTCTAATCACCCCCCTCTAGGGTCTAACACAGCCTTGTTGCAAAAAAAGAAAAAGAAAAAAACAACCATGATCATCCTTATGTTGTTTCTTTTGAACTGGATCCTTAGCAGCTTTATTATCAGTCTTCCTTTTATTGTCCTTATCCTTAGAGGCACTGGTCAAATGAGCACTTTTTGTCTTATATTGCTTCAACCTGTCTTCCTCTTGCACACAGTATGAAATGAGTTCATTCAGAGTCAATTTCTCTTTTTGGCAGTTATAAGTGACCTTAAACTAATTAAATTGTGCAGGAAGAGACAACAGAACCAAATGCACCACTAACTCATCACATAGATCGAGTTTTAGTGCCTTAAGTTTTGATGCAATATGAGACATCTCCATGATGTACTCTCTGATATTTCCTTTGCCCTTATACTTCATCCAAATCAAGTAAGCTAAAAGCGTGCTTGTTTCTATCTTATCGTGTTTAGCAAAACGTTTCTCAATTTTGGAAATGAAATCTTTGGCTTTAGTAATCCCTTCGGATTTTGTGCCCCTGAAAGCTTCCGGAATGCCACGGCTGATGATCATTAGACTCATATGATTTGAATGCTCCCACCTCTCATACTCCTTTTTTGCATCAGGAATGCTATCCGCAGTGAGTGGTTGGGGTTGTTCAGTCCTTAAAGCAATGTTTAGATCCATGTAGCCAAGAACAATGAGAATGTTCTCCTTCCAAACCTTGAAATTTGTCACATTGAGCATGAGAATTAAGTTGATGTTAGCAAAAATTATAGCACTAGATGCATTAGCTGAATCACAAAACAAACAAACAAATAAAACAGGCTCACATTAGTTTTAAAATGCATAAAATTACAATAATAAATTCAAATAAAGGTAAATCCCATCTCAAGATACCGGGCACTACATCAATATTTCATCTTTGGACAAAATAGTAATTAGTAAGTGGTGTCTTGTTGTAGTAATCAAACACTGATAATAATAACATGTCAAATAATAGATATTTCTTTGGGTTGATTTATTATTCGCATATATACCCAATAATCATCACATGTTTATTACCACAGGTGCAAATGTAATTATTTAAACATCAATCTTACTTTGGGCCGATTAATATTTAAATGAATTACACACACACATAACCTTTTATATTTTAAAATTAATTAATCTCCACAATAGAGGTCACTTTGGCGACGTATCGTTTCAATCAATTAATTTCAAAATACATACAATATTTAAATTTAAAATTGTACCCAAAATTCTACCAAAATAAGCATCCAAAATTGAAGTGATCACTGGCCTACATGATCACATGCCCACACAAATTTAATTTGATCACAGGCTCACATGATGTCAGGCCCACATGATGACAGGTCCACATAATAATAACATGATTTTTTATGTAACTGATCACATGCCCATGGCCCATGTATTGAAGTGTTATTTTTATTTTTATTTTTTTTAGCTGATCACAGGCCCATATGGGCCTATGTAAGCTTTGCTGCTGCACCCTAGGGCTTCCGCCCTAGGGTTTCATGATGGTAGTGGCCGTCATGGCAGTTGCCATTGCCTGTTGCACCCCAGGTTCAGCCTCTAGCGGTTTCCTTGGTGAGGCCAGCGGCCCGCCCATGGCCGCTGCCATCCGCTCGCGGCTTGCCGACGGCTGCCGACCAATTTTTTTATTAATCAAAAGAATTACTCAAATAATAATGCTATACCAAATTGGTTAATCAAAGATTAGCCAAATAAATTTAATCAAGTTGATAAACCTTAACAGAATGATGTCATGGATTTTATCAAACAATTTAATCGAATAAAATTGATTAAAAGAATACTAATCAAATATTGATTAGATAAATGGACCTAAATTAATTGACGGTACCAAAGAAATTGGATAAAAAAACAAAATTAGATCAAAACCCCCCAATTAAATAAAAATCTAAACTTTTAGATCCCCAATTAATTCAATCAACAAAAAAAAGGAATCAACACTGTTGGCCTTCTTGTTTTGATGATGTTTAACAAATAATTTACCACTAATGTTGTTCATCTAGTATTTGTGTTTTCTTATTTATTATAGACAAACAACGTAGTTGGAGGATGGATGGAATTGCGCTTTAACGACGATATCAAATGGAGGTTGGCGGAATTGTGGAGTGAAGCATCATACAATTCAAGTTCAAGATCCAAGTTTAGCTTCATCCGCAACGTGTACCAATTTGAGCTCAATGAAGATCAAGATCAAGCTTGGGTAATTTAGTTTAGGATTTATATTATGTGTGTTAAGTACGTTAAGCTCAATATCTATACACACACATTTATTGGTTTCTTCGTATATATATATAGTTATATATATACATACATGTGTTTTGAGTTTTTATGATTATATATATGAAATTATATATTTCATATTTTCTATTGTGTTTTTGAAAACATTGCATAGAATATGCAATTTTATGAAAATTCTATATTCTTAGTTTTTGGACTTAACAATAATCATATACATATTTTATTAAGTCTATATAATCATTGTGCAAAGTTTCAAAACATGGTTTAACCAAAATATCAAATTTCACATGTTTACATTTTCGTGTTTTGAACTATTTTGCAAAATGATGATTTTTCACAAATGGGAAATGCAATTTGGAAAATTCTTTTTGTAACATGTTCATTTACATATTTATATACATTTCCCAAAGTTTTATTATTTTTGGACTTCATTTGTTATTTTTAACAATTTTCCAAAAGTCAAAAAATATATTTTCAAACTTGTTTTTTCTGTCATGATCAAGTGTTTCGGTCGACCGCACCGATCGACGCTCAATTGTTCATTTGTTTTCTGAAGCAGCAGAGAGTTTGTCGGTCGAACCGATGCGGTCGACCGAGAGCTCGAAATTTCCATCGTCGACCGCACCGGTCGATCGAAGAAGTCTCTGTCTGTTTTCTGAGTTTGGGATCTGAATCGCGGTCGACCGTGAATATTTTCGGTCGACCGCCGTGGTGTCAGATCAATCTTAACGGCTATTTTTAGAGTCGTTGCAGAGGTTTTTTTCTTGGTGTTTTTTCTTGTCTTTCTCTTTTCTTTGGGGTTTCATATATATACCCCCTTACCTCAGATTTTATAAGTAAGCAAGAGAATGGTTTAAAAGATTTTAACAAGAGTTTAAGCTTGTTTTTAAGCTTGTTTAAGGGTTTGGTTTAAAGCTATTTTGGTTTTCACAAGTGGAGGAGATTATCTTCTTGTTTGGGCTTCAATCTTCATCTCTCCATCTTGTTATCAATTGAGAAGTTTTCTAAACTCAAACTCTAGCTTTACATTTATATACTTGTTTGATTATCATTGTTCTTAAGCTAGATCTTATATTTGAGTTTAGTTGATTTGATTTTATTTACTCATTGTTACACACACCCACTTTGAGCTTATTGTATTTGCATACATAGTATATTAGAGTTGTGAGAGATTGTAACATTAAGTTGTGCTTTATTATGTTCTCATCTATTGTAGAGAACAAATTTATATTTTGTTACATTGTGAGTGTTGTAAGGTTTTCGGTGGGACAAATTTTTAAAAACAACCTTTTTTCAATTTATTGTGCAAAAACGATTCTTTGAAACAATAATGAGCAAAACCGACCCTTTTCAACAGAAAATGGTCGGTTTTGCTGGAAAAGCACTAAAAGGAAGTGCACGGGACTAACAGTCCCGTACACTTCATTTTAATGGCTTAAAATTGCGACTGCCCAACTCCCTCCCTCTCTCTCTCTCTCTCTCTCTCTTCATCTATCCATCAACCAGCTCCTCTCTCTCGTTTTCTCTCTCTCTTCAAGCTAACCTAAGAAGCCCCAGCCCAAGCTCCGCCTCAAACCCATCGCCGGCCACCCCCTGAACTCCGAACACCACCTCGTCGTCGTCACTGCGATGGAGTTGCGGTAGTCTGCAACGGATTTTGAGGGCTTGCGGAGGGGTTTTGGGGGTGTTTGGGGCCATCTTTGGATCCAGTTGTTAGTGGGTTGGGATAAATATGAGATTTTGACATCTGGGTTTTGATTGATAACGGGGTTTGAGTGGGACTTCAGGGTTTTTGTGAATTTGCAGCGGAGGAGCTGAATATGTGGATGCAATTGGAGGCGATAGAAGAAGTGGAGAGAGTCGAAGAGAGATGAAGGATAAAATTGGAAGCCCTCCGACCACCGCTCAATAGTCCCCGTCACCTCAGCCTTGAACTCCACTGCCTCCCCCTCAACTCCTCCGAGATCCGCCCCGACGAGATCCGCCTCAACCACAGTCACGATTTTAGTTTCACTGTGAAAAGGAAGTGTACGGGACTGTTAGTCCCGTGCACTTCCTTTTAGTGCTTCTCCAGCAAAACCGACCCTTTTTTGTTGAAAAGGGTCGGTTTTGCTCATTATTGTTTCAAAGAGTCGTTTTTGCACAATAAATTGAAAAATAGGTTGTTTTTAAAAATTTGTCCTTTTCGGTGAGATAGAAAGCCGAGTGTGTTGTGAAGTTTTCGGTGAACTAGAAAACCGAGTGTGAGGAGTGAACGTTGTTCGGTGAGCATTGAAAACCGACACTGTGAGGTGTAAATGTTATTCGGGTGAGCGTAGAAAACCCGGTTGTGATAGTGGATTTCTCCCCGAGAGTGGGGAGCGGAGACGTAGGATGGAAGGTCCGAACTCCGTGATCATTTGATTGTGTTTGAGTGTGCTTTGGCGTTTATTTATATTTGTGCTTGTTGCTCATATCGCCATTGTCTCATTATTCATATCATCCTCTATCTTGTTTCATATTGTTTACCCTTGTGTTAGTTTATATATCCTTGCATATATATTTTATTATATAGGATATATCTCTTTGTTTACATTGCTTATCCTAGCTCATATATCTTGTGGTATTTCATACTTGCTAGGATAACTTGTTAATTAATTTTAATTGGTATATAATCGGATTAGATTAGCATAAGACCCTAATCACCCCCCTAGGGTCTAATAATTGGTATCAGAGCTTGGTGCTCTTTGATTTAGGTCTAATCGTCTTGAGTTAAAGATCCAAGTTAGCTTATTGTGCTAATCTAATTTTGAGCTTTATTTGTATCTTGCTTGCCTTTTATATTATGGATATGCATGGTTTAGGTTATGCCATTAATATTGCTCCTAGATTAGATAATTTTTCCTATGCCCAATGGTGTGTTAGATTTAAACTTTTTGTTCAATCTAAACACTTTGATTTATGGGAAATTATAGATGATGCTTATATTGTGCCCACTTTGGAGAAATCCAAGTGGAATAAGAATGATCATCGTATGTTTACAATGAACAATATTTTGCCTTTAACAAGTTGCAAAATGATTTTATTGATTTACAAAGCAAGCATGTTAGTTTAAAATCCGATCATGAGAAGCTAGCTTCCAATTTTGATATCATTTCCAAAGAAAATGTTGCTCTTAAAGAAAGTAATGATATGTTAAAATTGGAAAATGAGAAATTATCATCATCTATTGCTAGCCTATCTCATGCTAAGATTGATGCCATGTTAGAAGTAGAGAACATAAAGAATGATACAACTTCCTTTATAAATGATTATTTATGTTCTACTTCTAAAAATGCATATGTGCCTAAAAATGAAGATTTGAATCTTATGAAAAATAGTATTTCATCTTTATATTCAACTTTGAAAACATACATTAATAATCATAAGAGGCTTATGGATATGTATGCCAAGACTAAGTCAAAATCATCCACTCATTATGCACACATGTATAGCAAAACTTATAAGTGTTCTATTTGCGGCC